CCCACTTCACATTCAGCCTGGCTTCTACGTTAGTCGCCCCCGTATCTCTGTCCCCAGAAGTCCTGATGGCGCCGTGTTAAGTGCTCAGGTGCTAGGCAAAAAGGTCTCAGCTGAAACCCATGAATGGCTCTGCTCAAGACACATGGGCAATCTGATTCTGTAATGATCTCATACTCCTGGACACAGGACAGGGCCGCGGCATTCTGCGCTGTGGTCACTATGCACTGAAATGGATTTGACAGCCATAAGTTTGGTTCGGCTCTTATTAGCCTGCTCAATCTTGTCCTTTAACGGGATGCTCTGTCTCAGAGTTCATGATGGGAGCAAGTTCTTGTATCAATATTAATATATACATATGCAAAATATATATAAGATGAACATATTAATATACATTTATGCAAGGAATACATAGCTACGATATTGCAATATCCATAACTAAATGTTTATGGATAATGTGATACATATACTTATGAAATATACATTGATAAAATATATTCCAATATCCACAAATAGACATATATTGCAAAAATATATTGCAATATCCATAAATATATATATAGATGTATTTGGATATATTTGTTTGGAAAAACGATCTATATAGATACTTATGGATATTGCAATATGTCTTTATAAACATTTATAAAAAATTTTTTTTGATTTAGGTAGTATGTACTCAGAAAGCTAAGAATTTAATGTATATCTGATACCTTTTGATAGCTTTGTCTCTTAGAAGTAGCTGGGTGCTACACTCTTTTCTCCCACTCAGAGTGAAACCCTACTCAGAAAAGTCACGGGGGTGGGGGGGTGTTCCTCTGCTCCCATAAGCTGCCTGTGACCACCAGTGGCATCCTACACGCTCTGACTGGCATTCTGCCTCCATTCACAAAGAAGGTCGAAGCCTCACAGAATCAGTGTGGCAGCACCTACAAGACCCACGTGGAAACTCCATAAGGAATTGTGTGTTCCCGAGAGGAGTTCCGTGCAGAAAGCCCCAGGACCCAGTGGACTAAAAAACTGATGTCAGGAGACACCACACTCACAAGAAGCACTCTTGGTTTGAGGAGGGGTGAAGTTGGAGGGTGATGAGCAAGACTGCTGAATTGTCTGGGCCTGCACGGGTAAGCTAATTATTTTTCCCTCACCAAGCTTGTGTATTGTTGGAAAATCTATTGTAGCCATTCTTCCACACAGCTTTCACCTAAACAACAGCTCCGCAATTACTTCCCCGGTCCCCCTTCTTTTCCCATCCAATGTGAAAAGGGGGACTGTGATCCCTTCTCACACGTTACACTTGCCAATAGCAGCACAGACCACCAAGTCTTTGTTTAATAGCTACGACCACTTGAGATGACCTAGGAGGGTGGACGGAGGCGGATGGTTCATGTGAAGCCATCATGCCCTGCAGAAGCCCAGCAAAAATGTCATTTCAGATTCCTTTAGTTCTGCCTTGAAAGAAGTATAGGAAGAGTATTCCTTAGAAGTGATGGTGAAACTTCATCTTACGTACTTTGGACATGTCGTCAGGAGGAACCAGTCCCTGGAGAAGGACATCATGGGTGGTAACGTGGAGAGTCAGTGAAAAAGAGGAAGACCCTCCAGGAGATGGACTGACATGGTGGCTGTCACAATGAGCTCACAGAGTGACGACTGTGCGGATGGTGCCAGGCTGGGTAGTGTGTTGTTCCGGTGGACATCAGGCCATGATGAGTGGGGATTGCCTCCACAGAACCTAACCACCAGCCGGAGATTTGCTTTCATTTCCTATGCTTCCTACACTTGCACAATTTAGTCCTTCGTGGTTCTCCCTGCAGTGGCTAGCATCTCTTTTTGGGACTCCTTCCTTCCTGTCTGGTTGTATTTGTTTGGTGCTGTCCAATCACCTCTGACCCATAGCACCTCCATGCCCAACAGAAGGAAACTCTGCACGGCCCTGCATCATCCACACAAGGTTGTTCCCAAGCCTGAGCCCACTGAGGCAGCTACTCTATCCATCCATCTGGGTCGAAAGCATTCCTCTTTTTCACCTCCCCTCCACTTGACCAAACACGATGTCCTTCTTCACCAAGGACTCGTCTCTCCTGACAACACACCCAAAATATATAAGACGAAGTCTTGTCATTCTTGCTTCTAAGGAGCACCCTGGCCTTCCTTCTTCCAGTACAGATGATTTTTCCTGTTAGCAGTCCCCGGGACTTTCAAAATTCTTTGCATCATTTACTTAGTGGGCTTAATTTTTCCCCATGGAAAAATTTCTTTGCTACCTAAGGTTCATTACTTTCTTTGCTACCTAAGGTTCATCATTTTCCCTGACTCCATTTCGATATAGAAGGTGAAAGTACATAAACAAAACAAAGGGGAAAACTGAAGCTAAAGAAAAACACCAACAGACAGAGTATATGAGTACATTCTATAATTGTCTCTATTCACTCAGCAGCTGAAAAATGAAACAAAAGCCCACTGCCAGTAGACAAAAATGCAATTTCCCAAGGATGACTAAGATATTTTACCAAGCAAATTTGGTAAGAAATCTATAAAGAAAGCCTATTATTTTCAAGAAAGTTCCCCAAACTAAATTCATAGTGAATACTACAATATAGGTATGTTATGTTCACATTCCAACTGCTCTATCTGGAATAGACCGTATTTTTTCAATGTACTAAAATTATAGTCCTTTATTTTCAGGAAGGACCAATTGCTGGAGAATGACATCATGCTTGCTCAAATAGAGGGTCCAGGAACAAGAGAAAGACCCCCAGAAGTTTGAGACAGGATCCACCATAGCAACAACGGTGAGGATGCCGCAAGCTCAGGCGGTGCTTTCTTCCATTGTACAAAGGGTCTGCACGATTCAGAAATGAGTTGAGGGGCACCTCATGAAAATAGATTTCCTCCTCTGCGCTTTCATCTACATTGCTCCTTCATCAGAGCTTTTGCATCCTTCAAGACTCCGATGCGCTCCATCAGAATGCCTCCCCTAAAACCCAGGGTGGGTAGAACACCACATTTATGTCTCCACAGGACTCCTCAGGAAACCCCCATGCCATTTCTATTGCATACTTTCTGCTACTCTTCTCAGACAGAAAGCCGAGGCTTTCCCTTGGCCATCGTTCTCCCTGAGGCTTCGTTGTGCCAAGGTGAAATCCACTAGTTCCGATTCTTTCACAGTTCTTTCAACAGACATTTCAAGATGGAATTTAATGACCTCCTCATATAAAATACATCCGCAATTGAGCTCCTCATCTTCCCACCGATGTCTGTCCTTGAGAAAGCATGGCAGGACCGGTCCTTTGGTCAAAACCCCTCAGCCCTCAGAGGCATCTGTAATGTGCTCCTTTGCCTGGAGCTCTCCATGAACACACTACAAAATCCTACTGCTTTAGTCAAGGGCACCTCGCGACAGTGTCCACATGCTGCTTCCACTTTGACATCTTACTTCAGAGTCGCACCATTTGCTTAGATTCAACCACACATGAATGCCCCACACCTTCTTCTGGCTATCTCCAAGTGCTCCAAGCCATCTAGGGCCATCTTCCTGAAGAACTGCTCACTAACCGATCAGGTCACTAGCTTGGTTCCTATCTTTAGGGCCTAAAAGATCCATAAGCTCAGTGTAAATGCCTATGCTTGACCTTCAAAAGTTTCATAGCACGTTTTACCTACAGTTGATTGGTGGGATCATATAATTGAGAAAGGATATAGTCTTGATCCAAGCATGTAGCACAGTATCTGCCATGCAGGAACACATGGGCATTACAAAATTAGCATCACGCCATTCTCCTGCATCCAGAACTTTGATGGCTTTGCATACTCTATAGGATTTAATCTAAAGTTGGTATGACTTAGCTCTCATATATCCGTTTCCAACTCTTCTTGCTAGGGCATTCTGGGTTCCAGTCTTATGGAATTACTCCTTTGATGTAATATGAAGCCTTTGCCAACAGCTCCCCCTGCATATTCCACTTCTTAGAATGCCTCATCTTTGTCCTTCAAGTGCAGAAATCTTCCTCCACCCATTCAATTTGGGGGGGGCCTAACGCAACCACGAACATTTATTACATCTTTCTGTTGCCCCACTCAGTGAGCGATGGGACAGGTTGGCTTCCTTTTTTATTTCCTGGAGTAGATCACAGTAATCTGAACACCAAACTGGAATCCAGGGTCATCTGGTCGATTCTGACTCATAGTGAACTTATAGGGTTTCTGAGGCTAAAGATCTTCCAGGAGCAGATAGCTGCTTCCTTGATCCACAAAGTGATGGGTGGGTTTAAACCAGCATCTTTCCAGTTCGCAGCTCAGTGCTTCCCCAACAGTGTTCATATCTAATACCTTTTGATGAATACTTTTTTTTTTTCCTTCTCTTGACACTGCTGGTAACTAGCTCTCTGCTCCTGAACAAACTAATTAATTGAGTGGATTTAATTACCCACCCAAAGCCCATTGGTCTCCACACTGGGTTCTATTTCAATCAGATAACTGAACATTTTCTGAATTTCTGGTTGTTTTCCAATGTCTTTGATACCTTGTTGAAATTTCTCCAACCTTCCCACACACATATACAGAAGATGTGTTGTCCAACACACCGGCCTATTGGCTTTCTGAAAGTGTCCGGGCCACTGAATTGTGTAAGACTTCCTCATGATTATAACACTTTGCCAACTACGCATTATTCAAATAATGACCTTTCCCCCTAAACTATAATGCCAACTCCTTCATAGAAAGGAACATACTTTACCTGTCTTTCTGTCTCCGTAACATCATTCCTGGTAACTCAGAAAGCACACTTAGTGTGCTACACTAAGGGCAATGGGTGTTACAATGAACTTCAGACCACCAGGCACCAGAACTTAAGTGACAATGCCGTCAACGTACACAGAAGAATCTTTCACTCCTTTTAAAGGAAGGGATATATAATTTCATACAACCATTATCATACGAATACGTAGTTTTCTTGGTTGCTCATCTGCCATTTTCTCCTTGGCCCAACCCTTCCATCCACTTACTTTATATTTTCATTCGCAGGTACTTCCGGCAGTTGCACGGTAATCATGCCATCCAAGTTGGTCTTCCCAATGAAGGCAGGCTTGGTACGGAGGACATCTGGGGCTGTCTTGGCGGTGACCCTGTGCTGAAGTCCACCAGCACTGTTCCCACGATTTGTCAGTACGAAGGAATAGGATTTCTCAGGCTTCAGGTTGACGATTAACTTCTGTGTGGCTCGGCCATCCACCTCCTCCACCATCTTGCCATCATCATAAAGAATCTACGGAGAGACAACCCATCAGAGGTGGTGGTAACAAAGAATCAAAAGAGATTTTATAAACCAGGAGGTACTTGGGCTGATAGGAAATGCTGAAGAGGGGGTCAATTTCAAATTGGTGGGGAAGCCAATCTGTAAGTGATTTGAGAGAGTGTATCAGTTTGCCTCATACGCCTCCCAGGTCGTCAGTCCATGTTTCTACATCTATATAAAGAGAAATGCAATGGTTCCTAATTGGTAGCCTTAGAGTTGCATACCATCTGCATGGACTATATGCAAGAAACCTTCAGATTTTCAAAAGATTAGTCCTGTCAAAGACAAAGAAAGGCCTTTGCTACTTGTTCTCCATACATGTCTCCAAACCTATTCCTAAGGTTTTCCTGTTCCTAAATGATTTTCTACTCCTTTTGTCTAAGTTCATCCTTCTTACTAACACCTCTCCAGGGCCAACTGAGCTTAAAAAAGAACTTCAGACCCACAAAGAGATCCAAATGCTGCCTGGAGACTGTGTTATAAATAGTTGAAGGGCAAGTCAATGCCATTCTCTGGAGATAAACAAAAGCCCGTGCTTGGATTGAAAGGGGGGAGGGAGAGTACTAGGTGACCTACAAGCAACTCCAGCTTTGAGTCTGACCCCCTGCCCCTCATTTGAGTGCTTCAAGCACCAGACATAATCATCTCTTAGGTGAGCGCGCCTAATGAGAACAGCATCGGACATACAGCCCCATCAAAGCGTCTGCCAGCCCTGCCAACCACTTACCCAGCTGAACTGCCCCCTTCGCTTCCACCCTTGGTAACTTACAAAGGAGAAAAGGACGTACTTTGAAAGGCATGGCCGAATTATAATTCTCTGGAATCTCCCAAGACAGCAGCACTGACGTCTTCATGACTGCTTTGACATGAAAATTTTTTGCAAACACTGCTGGAAAAGGAAAGACAGTGTATTGAAACTATTTCTAGAGATGGACGACTTGTCCTTCTCCACCATGGACCACAGGGCTTAGGCTAGCCGCTGCCTACGTTGACCAGAGAGAGCGTGGTTGGCCTACCTGTGTAGCGTGCTCATTTCAACACGCTCCTTTCTCTCCCACTCAGCCAACAACTACCTTGTGCTTTCCTTACCTGAGGAGCTCGGTGCAGTCAGCCAGGCTTGCGTGGCATTCTATCACTGAAATCTAAGCCATCCAGAATGTGTTATGGTTTACATACGTTACCTTTACGCTTTGGCTGAACCTATCAATATGAATGGGCCGATCAGTTATTTTTATAGCGTCAACACACTGATTTCCAAAGACCGACATTCCTTTAAAGCAGCAAGGCCAGAAGCAGACAAATCCTACCTTGATCCACAGGTAGTGTCCTGAACTGGACACTGGGACTATATGGCCCGGGCCCTTTGCTCGTGTGAGCACGTACTTTTACATCGTAAGTGGTATCTGGCTTTAAGCCACTGAGTATCAGAGTGGTGTCTGCTGGAACAATAAGCTGCTCCATCGGAAGAAGCGGGATGTTGATATCCCGATAAAGGAGCGTGTACTTGGTGATAAGGCCGTTTCTCTCTGCCAGGGCAGGCGGCTGCCAGGACAGCTGGACAGATGTGGAGGTGGTGCCATCCGAATGGAGATTTTGAGGGAATCCAGCAGGGACATCTTCTGGGACCGAAATCTCCTTGACCATCTCCTCCCCAAAGCCCACTTTGTTCCTGGCCGAAAGCTTGAAGATGTAGGCCGTGCCCTTGTGGATGTCCATCGCTGTGAAATGGTCCTCCTTCTCGGAGAACTCAAGAGTGGTGAGCGGCTCTGTATCCTTGCGGCCAAACTTGAGCCGGTAGCCCTGGAGGGGTCCGAATGTGTCCACAGGGGGGTGCCACTGGATGAGGGCAGTATTCATCTGGGTGTGGTTGATGACAAGCCGCGGTTTCCCTGGAACTGAAGCGCAGAGGACGGGGGTCAGCCGGACCAGTACAAACGTCCACCGTCCCACCACTGCCGAATGCAAACACCACTGATCTGGCATGCCCCTTTCTACAGTCAGACACGAAACGACCAAACAACACAGACTTGCAGAGATAGCCCCAATATTAGACAACCACGACAAAGCTGTTGTGACTGACTTTATTTTGAAGGGCCGCTGATTTACTTAAGAAGGTGGCAGGAAGTGAACACATGGCAACTACATGCGTTTCAGTGTGCAAACATGTCCCTGCTAGTCCGTGGAAGGGAGACAGACATGGAGACCGTGGGATTTGAGGTGGTTAGCTCTCCGGGCAACCCCGTGCACAAGACAGCAAAACGCTGCCGGGTTCCTGAGGACCCCCTGCTGTCATCTGACACGGACCTCTATGCCATCACGTGGACGTTGTGATCTCTAGGGGTTTGATTGGCTGAATTCTGGAATCAGGCCTTTCTTCCCAGCCCCACTCAGGGTGCAAGCTCTGCTGAAATGTGCTTCGCCACACACAGCCTTCACTGGGAGATAGGCAAAGGCGATGTATGAGGTCGACTGGCCAGAAACAGAACCCGGGTCTCCACCAGGAAAGACAAGAATTTTATCACGGAACTCCCTATGCCTCACTAGACTATGTTCACGGACCCCAAATAGGACGTTTTACTGCAACGAAAGGTATTGTCCGGTCGCTTCACTTCCTAACCTTTACGCATACAGGTTCAACTCAGAGAGAAATGAATCCCAGAAAAGAGGAAGCAGTTCCCTCCCTCCCTCCCTCCCCCTCACTGTCAACAAGTTGACTCTGGCTCAGGGCAACCCTACAGGTCAGGGCAGAATTTCCCTCCTGGGTTTCTGAAATGCACTATCTTGACAGGAACAGACAGTCCTATCTGTCTCCCGCAGTGTGTGGTCGGTGGATTCAAATTACCAACCAACTCAATCCAATGCAACTCATAAGAACAATACTTATGAACAATAATTATAACCCAATGTTATTTACTGAGCCCCCAGGGAATGGATTAGGCCCTAGGCTGAGATCATGACCAACAGTATCCCATTAGACTTACATCACTCACTCCTCACTTTGCTGTCAGATCAGTTGTGAACATCATCTTTGAATTAGATAATAAGGAGACCCAGACAGGTAGAAACCTGAGCAAGGTCAATTGCCTAATCACGAGAAAGCTGTAAGAAGACAAAGACGCAGGCAGGTTGGCCTGAGTTCGTAACTCAAATATTTAACTATACTGTCACAAAGGTTAAAGAAGGAAGGAAGCAAAGGAGGGTGGGTACAGAATAGTGTGCCTGGACTTCCTGTGGATTGAATCTGCCCATTTTGTCTACATTTAACTTCCCATGTCAGTAACCCTCATCATTTTCTTCATGTGTATAATGGGACGTAGGTAAAGACTTAGCTCGTGTGGTGGTTGGAAATATTAAATTACAAATTAAAATGCGGGTAAAGGTCTCAGCATGATAACCCATTACCAGGAACCCTGATGATGGATCAGGGGGGTATGGACCTTTTTGTTGTCAGGGGTTGTTCTGAGGAGCAGAGAATGTACGTACTTAAGGATAGAGATGCTCAATCCACTTAAGAAGAGTTCTCATCGACTTGTTCTGTGCCTGGCTCTATCCATCCTACTTTAAGAGTGGAGTGTAATTGTTTCTGAAACCCACAGCAAAAGTAAACAAACAAACAACAAAACACCGGTAATACAGAAAGCGGGGAGCCTGGGAAAGAGAAGGGAGTGTCTACAGGACCCAAATGAATCCAGTAAACAGAAAGGGGTGGGGAGGATGATTGCAAAAAGGGAGGGCAGTTTACAATAACGGATGACTGGCAATGCAAAACAGGATCCTGGGCAGGCAGCTAAAGGTAAATAAATAGAAGAAGAGAAGACAATAGCTGGACCGTTCATCAGCAATGCTTTTGTATTTCAGAAAGTTGAGACCCAAGGAGTGATGCGCTTTGCCCAAGACAGAGCTCTGTCCTTAACCAAGGGGCTAATGGTTTTGCTTGTTTCACATGCTGGTTCTGTCCAGGTAAATCCCAGACATAGTATGGTCAGAAGGCTCCCAGTGTGCAACAGGAATGCCATCCATGGGTGAAGAGGCTGGCCCAGGAGTCAAAAGCGTAGTGGACCCCGTTTGCTCAGGCAGGAGTGCACTCCTTAGCCATCTCCTCAGCCAATCAGCAAACAGGTTCTGAGAGCACAGCTGATTCATTAATTGGAGAGTGCTTGACTTTCTCCATTTGTTTCCATTTCAAATGTATTTAAAATGATTTTCCTTGTGAGAGGCCTGGTAGGGATCCCGCAAGGGCAATACAACCAAGAGAAATCACTGAAACCCAAAGGAAGGCTGAGCATGGTAGTGGGACAAGAGGAAAGTAAAGGGAAATAGAGGAAAGAACCAGGGGACAAAGGGTATGTATAGAGGTTTTAAGACTGTAATGCACATATGTAAATGTATTTATATAAGAGTGTGGGGAAACAGATCTACCTGCATATATTTATAGGTTTAGTATTAAGGCAGCAGATGGACATTGGGCCTCCACCCAAGCACTTACTCATTGTAAGAACACATTGTTCTATTAAATTGGCATTCCAGGATGCACACCTTCCC